CTGCTCTCGAACTGGTTTGGCAAAAATGGTATGAAAATCAACGCTCAGAAAACTCAGCTCATTGTTCTCGGCACTCGTCAAAATCTCCGGCAGCTTCCAACAGTCAGCATCAACTTTATGGGCGCCACTGTCTCCGGCTCTCCCGCGGTGCGGAATCTGGGTGTCGTATTTGACCAATGTATGTCGTTTGCCGCCCATACCGATGATGTCGTCCGGCGCTGCACAGGTATTTTAATCGGATTGAGTCACTCTAGACATATTTTACCGCATTCGACGCTCACCACCCTAGTCCAAAGTCTAGTCATTTCGCTCATCCGCTATTGTATCAGTGTGTACGGCTCCTGCAATACCACTCAGCTCGCACGTCTGCAAAAGCTGCTGAATTTCTCAGCCCGTGTGATATCGGGGCGTCGGAAGTTTGATCATGTTAGTGACGTCCTGCGTGACCTGGGATGGCTGTCCGCGCGTAACATGTACTTATACCATGTGCTGACCCTATTGAAACGTATGCTGGTCACTGCGCAGCCCGAGTCAATCGCGAGTAGAATAGTGCGTAGACGTGACGTACATCAGCGAGCCACAAGACAGATAGATATGCTACATGTGCCCAGAATCAAATCGGAGTCCGGGAGGAGACGATTCCTCTTTACCGCCGTGACAGCTTTTAATAGCCTACCACCGGCGATGTGTGACCTGAACCTGCGCGCGTTCAAGGCAGAGTTGCGCCGGCACTTATTGCGACAACAGGCGGCCGACCGTTAGCAATACTTCATGACGACACGTTTGTGAGAGAGTGACTGCGAATGAATGTCTGTCTGTGTGCGTGCGTGCATATGTTTTTCCCACGACACCCATCATTTTATATTGCGACCCTGGTTCAAGAATAGCCATTTTTGTGGAATGAGCCTACGATGTCAAATAAATAAATAAATAAACAGTACTTATCAACTTGTAACTGCACTTCTCGAGATCTGAGGTGTGGTGAGCTGCCCAAAAGAAACTGGAGGCGACCACCGCCTGACGCGCTGCTGGACGGTCGCGTGCCAGATCACCGGCGTGCTTTACCTGTGTACTGCACGAGTCTCGGGAACCGCGCACCATAAGCGGTCATCCTTCACAAACGTTACCTCGGCCGCCCGTGTCAGGACACACTGTCCGACGGCAAAAACAGAAACTGACACCGCATTAGAAGGGCGACTGTCGCCCTTCAAAGCAGCATGTTAGCGGTTACGTCCGTAGCTATCACACATATCTCCCATTTAACATAACATCGCATCAATTTACGTTTCAAGTTTTCTTTACACCGATTTAAAAATAAACTGAACGCATTGAATCGAACGCTCATCGCAGGGAAAGCCATGCGCTTTTCACGCGCAACATAAATAATAGATTAATCTTAAATGAAAAAGTCGCAGACTTATAAAAATCTTCATTGCGTTATTCATGATAACAATGCATCATTGGGTATTGCGAAAAAAATGGGAGCGTGCGTCATATTGTCAATGCATCGTAGCGCCACGCAGCCCAGGTATGCCACTCCCCAGCTCCGCCCCCTTTTATCCCTCATCGACGGGAAGAGTCTGCCCCTCCTTCGCCACTGCATAGCTTGAATTTTTACTCACCTAGCTTCATTTCTCGATTAATAAATCACTTAATTTTTTTTTTCAATCCATTTCCTTGCTTAGCAAGCATTGCCATTTTCATGCTCTATTGGAAAATATATAATGTAGGTACTAGGCATACCTACATAGCATCATGTGTTGAAAACCCGAAGCCGTCATGGACAGCCTATTGTCGGCAAGAATAGTCAAGAGTGTTTTTTATTCGGCTTGCTCTGATTGAGCCATAACCTATTGACGAGCTTGCACTTTCTATGCTGAGTTTGGCATATCGTTTTTGCCAGTCCGCCCCCGGTAAGGCCTGGGTAGGGCTGCAGTGTTACGGGACTCTGGCAACAATACAAGGCTATCAGTCGTGTCACTGCGAGCCCGCCATTTGCCGGATGTGCAGTTTTGGGCTGCCATGAAGGTGACCAGGCGTGCAGCTGTGCAGAGGGGTTCTGTTACAATCGAGGAGGACCGGCAAAACAATGCCTCGCTTTATACCATTGAAACAGCGGCATCCATTTTCTATCGCCATAGACATGCAATGTGTTTACCCAACTGGCGTGCGAGCCGCTTTCTTGTCAACTGCAAAGGAGGCCACGTATGCTACTTGATGACTCTTGCCAGGGGCGGATCCAAGGGGGGGGGGGTCACATGGGTCATGGCCCCCCCCCCCCCTTGAGGCCCGGGGGCCCAAAGACCTTCCAGGGGCACCACCGGCCTATCAGGGGTATCACAGTCCTGACAGGGGCACCACAGGCCTAGCAGGGACACCACGGGCCTGGTGCCCCTGGGCCCTGACAGGACTGTAACGCCCCTGACAAGCCTGAAGTGTCCCCGGCAGGCACGTTGTGCCCCTGACAGGCCTGAGGCGCCCCTGCAAGGCCGGTGGTGCCCCTGGCAGGCCTGTGGTGTCCATGGCAGGCCTGTGGTGCCCTTGCTAGGCCTCTGGTGCCCCTGACAGGCTTGTAATGCCCCTGGAAGGACTGTGGTGCCCCTGGGCCCTGACAAGCCTGAGGTGCCCCTGACAGGCCAGAGGTGCCCTTGCTAGGCCTGTGGTGCCCCTGGCAGGCCTCTGGTGCCCCTGACAGGCTTGCGGTGCCCTTGGAAGGACTGTGGTGTCCCTGGGCCCTGACAAGCCTGAGGTGCCCCTGACAGGCCCGTGGTGCCCTTGTTAGGCCTGTGGTGCCCCTGGCAGGCCTCTGGTGCCCTTGCTAGGCCGCTGGTGCCCCTGGCAGGCCTCTGGTGCCACTGCGCCCGGAGAGGACTGGTGCCCCTGAAAAGTCTGAAGTGCCCCTCGGCAGGCCCGTCGTGCCCCTGACAGGCCCAAGGTGCCCCTGCGAGGCCGGTGGTGCCCCTGGCAGGCCTCTGGTGCCCCTGGCAGGTCTGTGGTGCCCCTGGCAGGTCTGTGGCGCCCCTGGCAGACCTGTGTTGACTGGTGCCCCTGCTAGGTCGCTGGTGCCCCTCACAGACCTGTGGTGCCGCTGGGCCTTGACAAGCCTGAGATGTCTGGCTATGACAGGCTCGTGGTGCCCCTGATAGACCAGTGGTGCCCTTGCTAGGCCTGTAGTGCCCCTGGCAGGCCTCTGGTGCCCCTGCTACCCCTGCGCCCTGAGAGGACTATGGTGCCCCTGAAAAGCCTGAAGTGCCTCTCGACAGGCCCGTGGTGCCCCTGGGCCCTGACAGGCCCAAGTTACCCCTGCGAGGTCGGTGGTGCTCCTGGCAGGCCTCTGGTGCCCCTGGCAGGTCTGTGGTGCCCCTGGCAGGCCTGTGTTGACTGGTGCCCCTGCTAGGCCGCTGGTGCCCCTCACAGGCCTGCGGTGCCCCTGGAAGGACTGTGGTGCCCCTGCCCCTAGGGGTGCTCATGGGCCCAACAGGCCCGTTGTGCCCCTGACAGGCCTGTCGTGTATACTTGCTAGACCTGTGGTGCCCCTGCTTCCTGGCAGGCCTGTGGTGCCCCTGGCGGGCCTGTGGCGCCCCTACAAGGCCGTAGGTGCCCCTGACAGGTTTGTGCTGTCCCTGTAAGGACTTTGGTGCCCCTGACAAGCCTGAAGTGTCAAGGACAGACCCTTTAGACGCCAGGGTCAAGTTCGTCGGACTGACAACGATTTGCTTACCTGATAACGTTCCTGGTAAGTACTCATTACTCAGCGTCCACAACATATACACATAGCACATTCATATATACTTGCTTACAATTGGTAAATGTGGTTGTGGCTAAGAGGTAAGATACTGACTAAAAATAAAAAATAAAAATAAAAAACTGAAAATGGGGGCACCACCAAAATGAAGTGGACGAAATCCGTTGAGTTTTTAATTTTGGGTATAGGTAGGGGCACCACTTCGATTCATGACCCTCCCCTTGGAGTTTTCCTGGATCCGCCCCTGACTCTTGCTTTTGGTTAAGTAGAAATCGGAGAGGTAAAAATGTACAGAATGTCTGAGAATATGCCACACTGTTTTCCAAAAATATCGATTGAAGGAAAGAAGCTAGTGAAGTAGTAGGTAGTGCTATGTGAGTGATCTTTTAAACAGCTAGAAACTCGTGGTGGCATCTGCAACAGGCTCTGAACGTCATAACTCACGACTACCCATATAACCAACCACTTTAAAAGTACTCTAAGTCTACACTAGCAACTAAAGCATTATCCTTCTTAGTTCTTGCGATGATTACGCTTGTAACTGGAACTGGTAATTGAAGCCTGTATTGACCAGCCAGACTTCGTGACAGAGCTGAGATGTAAACGCATAGGTATTGAAGCAAATCATTGCCTGTTATCTCCCTCCACAGCTGAATTATCCTGCTTCAACTGTTAAATGGCTTACATGATAAATAAGTGACCTCCTTTGTCATTCGACATCTGATGTAACACTGGACTAAAATAGACATCTGTTAAATGCTGTTGACATCTACTGTCGCCCATTTGTCCAAACGGCTGCTATTCATGCCATTCACGTCTGACTGACGGCACTGAATCACCTTTCACACGCACGGGGCAGGACGGATCGGGCGGCCACTTCCTCTCATCGTGCCTATTACCGGGGCCGCCTCATGATCACGCTGTGCCGCTCCTGGCGCCCACCGCCGAGGGATGAGCTGCGACCGATAGACAGTCTCTGTCACAGCACGGAGAGGGCGGCGGGCCGGGTCAAATGAGCCGTCACCCCAGCTCTCCGGAACCACGGCCGCTGGCGGTGCGCCCACTGACGCGTCCTGCAGGTGCAGCGGCAGGACCAGGTGGCCGCCGGCCCTGTCCTCCGCCGAGAGCGCTCTCACGCCCCGACCCGTCGGATGCCCCGCCACGCTCCACTGACTTCGCCAGAGAAAGTCACTACAGGTGAGCGGGGTAGGTGTCGGAGAGGGCCCGGCGCACCACAGAGCAGCCAGTGGTGCCGGCGACTGGGGAGGAGTCAGACTGACAGGTCACGGGTCGGCGCGCGAGGTGCGATACTCACGAACCAGAGCGCCCCGCCTCGCTCCCGCACAGCACACGGCCGACCCCGAGGCGCGCAGCGGGCATGCCGTCCATGCTTCTCACGGTGAGAATACCACGCAAAACCATATATAACTACATCTCTATATACGGATATACGGTTATATCTCTGCATACGAAATACAATACCTCATAAAAGGGGGTTGTCCTCAAATGCTATTCTGTAACTATATTCCATTATACGAAAATTGTATGCCCAATACATACAATTTTCGTGTAATGGAGAGGCGCGTGTCCTACAAGGAAAAGTTATTTCGCTGCTCGCCTTTTAAGGAAGTTGAAATCATTATTGACTCCTTATCACATAGCTACTGCCGGTCTATGGCAATGTCACTGTAACTGTAATGGTGAGGAAAATTGTCGATAACGGTGCTGATCAATTCATTGCATACATATGTGAGGATTTTCCTTCTTCCTATTGGGTGCTATTCTGATGTACATTATGGCCTATGATGTAATCATTTTCATATTGGTGGCACCTTATATCCACAATTACCTTAGTGCACGTGAGTTGTAAGGCGGATACACACTGCAGCACACACATTTGCAGATCCAGAGAGGTGGTCAACAGGTCAGATGACTTCTCAAGCTCCGCTGAGCTATTCAGCCACATGCGCCTTCGCGGGGGGGGCAGATTCTGCCCCCCCCCCCGCCTGTCTAGCTTCCTAACGGATGGTCATAGAAAGAAGACGGGGAACAGCAATGGAAAACTCTCAACAAGACATAGGTATATAATTTAGGATCAAAATATGATCCAATCGTAATAATCAGTTACGATTGGTATACAATTGTACACTATCTTGGTAGTGCTGTCAATATCAGATCATTGGGAGATCCAAGGCAAGCACCAACAAAAAACTGTATGAAAATAAGAATAAAATGTGAAAAGAGTTTCCAGCGAGTAGGGTCAACAGAGATTGGCTCGCGGACGACTCACTCCCCTTTTTTTGCTATAAACGATTAAGTACCTATCTAAATGCTCGTTGTTCTCTTTTTTTTACGAGACAGATCGTATACTTAGAGGGCACATGTAACGACGCAGTACTACCTGAGACCACTATCGGTGCGGCTACCAGTCAGCGGTCGGTCCTTTCCGCGATGGGTTTCGTGTCGGACGTCACGGCCAGTAGCTCCGGGTCGGTACCTGTCGCCTGCCGAGGCCACCGGTCCGGCAGCAGCGAGGTCGCGCGCCGCGCCGCCCGTGGCTGCTCCCTATACCCCTGCACTGCGCCAGGCGGGTACAACGTGCAACGAGCACTAACCAGAACACAGTAGCTTGGACCCAGCAAAAAGCTAGCTGCACATGTTTGCAAGGTTTGGGTAGCGTTTTGTGAAGAGAACTGAGAAGTAATCAGCCCGAGGCCCTTTCATAGATGCCCACAAGGCTCAAGATGACGGTCTCGTCGCATTTTAATCGCAAGTGTTCTAATGGGTAGTTTCTATATGTTCTCCACGTTATCATGCATTATGCATGCCTATATAATATCTATCAAACATGGAATCATATGTGGTAATTCACATATTTTGACAGATTCATAGGTTATTGTTACCTAGCTTTTGCCTTACATGGCGATAGGCTGACTGCCTTAACCCGCGCCCCACTGGGGGAGGGGGGGGGGCTATTCATAGCCCCCTCCCGTTTTCTGCAATAACTTCTAAACCGCTTGACGTATCGCCGCCAAACTTTCAATACCTTCGGCTGCATCAATGTGACACCTTGTGTAACAATTTTAACCTCGTATCTATCATAGATCGGCCGTAAATGACGTCAGAGTGACGTCATGTCCGGCCGATTTCGACGCAAAACATTGAACCACGGGAATCGCTCCCAAGAGCTCAGTTTTTGAGCTAGCTCCAATTTCTTTGCATGAGAGGACTCAGAATGGACTGGGCTATGAAACAACCATCTCAAATTTTCAAAATTTTTAAAATTTCGAAAATTATATTTATTAAAATTCAAAATTTGCATTTTATCTTTTTGAACATATTTGGTGGAGTGTTGTGCTGAGCATTGTTTGATGATTGTGACCCTGAAGAAGTCCAATGGACGAAATAAAGGTATTTTTCAAAGAATTTTGCATTTCATTTACCATTTGGAACTTAACCCTCGCCCATGTAGGGGGGGGTTGGTGCAACCCCCCCTGAGGTTTTTCGGAAATAGTGCAAAAACGGCGGCGCGCAGCGCCGCCAAATTTTGGGTACCTTATGGGGCAAACCTTGCGCATCTTTTGATAAAAAAAATTTGACCGGGTCATGTCAGGTCACGGAGTTATGACGTCACAAAGGGAACAGCCTCCGGCCGGATTTTCACAAACTGAGTGCCAACGCCCGAGGTTTCCTGCCGGTGGTACGGACATCGGTTGATGGATCGTGATGAAACTTCCCATGCATGTTGGGGCAAGTATTGGCTATCATATGGTATAAGAAACTTGACCGGCTCAGGTCAGGTCACGGAGCTATGACGTCACAAGAGGAACAGCGTCCGGTACTATTTTTGAAAAGCGCCCGAACCACTATTTTGCTAATTCTTGTCACCTCAATGGGAATATGCAGCAATATTAGCTTCTATAGGGAGCAAATGGACCTTCCAAATCCAAAAATACAATCAGATTTCAAAATTTAAATTTTGATTTTTCGAATTTTTGCCGCCGACTGTGACCTTGCCGACTTCCGGCGCTCCCAACGCGCCATTTTTAGAGCTAGGGATACGAAATACATACCAAACGATAGAGAATTGATCAAGGAACACGATAGTGAAGGTTTCAAGTCGATATCTCCCAGCGTTTTGCCGCAATCGCCGCGGAAAGTTGAAAAAAGTCTATTTTTCCGAAAATTTGACCTTAGACCGGTCAAAAGTAGGTCAAATGTTGACCTAGGACCAAAAAATATACCACCAATCGCGAGATCTCGGCGAGAGCAATCCGTTGGTTTTTTCCGCTAAGCTCTACGACGCTCCGTTTTCAAACGCCAAGGGGGGGGGTCGCACCAACCCCCCCCCCCTGCATGGGCGAAGGTGGCAGATCGCCGTTTACGGGCGAGGGTTAATATGAGCAAAGGCTATTATATCTCAATGATAACTATTTTTATCTTTTTTTGAAACACGTTTTGACTTTTCGAAAAAACGGAATATATATGATCGATCACATGCTTATGACTTACTCTAGCAAGTTTCAGCCAGATATCTTCAAAAATGGCCAAGTTATACGCATCACCTATAGCAAAAATTTTACAATTTCAAATTTTTCTAATCAATTTTTCTGTACGAATTTGACATTGTACACCAATATAAATAGCACCATCGTGTTCCTGAGCTCAAACTGCATCCGATAGACATGTTTTTTGTTGAAAAATTTCAACTCTGAAATTTGACCTTTTTTGACCTGAAAGTGACCTGACCTCAGCTATATTCAGATGAAAATGACCTCAAATGACACATGCGACACCGAATTCAAAATCTATGGCCTAAATGGACCATAAAACATATGTCACGTGACCGACTTATGACATAAGATTTCCGTGACCTATGATGACCTGACCCTAACCTGAAAATCAAAGTACAAATTTCGTACCCTCAGGATATCTAAAGCATCTTTTTACGAGTGTGTAAACCAAAAATCAGCTTGACTTGTAAGACGGCAGCCAGAGCCCAAAAAGTGAACAAGCCAAATGTCGATAATGTTTACTTTGACCTGACCTGTGACGTCATCATTGACCTCGAGGTCAATGAAATTAGGTTTCGCTCGACAGTTTATCCGGGACTATCAGATGCCGTTTTAATTTTGACGATCGGCCCAGTAGTTTCGGAGTTAGGAGGGGAGGGGGGCTATGAATAGCCCCCCCCCCCCCAGTGGGGCGTGTTATACACAGAACCCCAGTGGGGCGCGGGTTAAGAACGAAGAGCACCCCAACAGGAGCCTCCAACTCCTCTGGGATGTTAAGGCTTAAGCAGGCACACAGGAAGCCCAGACTTAAATGGTGCCTCTACTGCAAATGATTGCATAAAATCCAGCATGCCATGTTTACGTGATAGCGGAAATACTACTCCCTTTTACTTTCTGAAGTTTATGTGATGCTAGCCACACGAAGTAATTACATGCGTTTTGTGAAGGGTTGTGTAATGTGTAAGTTGAAAAAAAAAGTTTCACTGCTTATCTGGCAGTGTACATTCGCCATTCGTCAGTTCATAGCCCCTACTTTCCCGTGTGCCCGCCTTCATAACGAGCCCGTTCGGTTTCACCGCTGCTGGGGCGGGGCGGGCCGGGGCGGGCCGCGACCCCTCCCTGTCGGCCCGTCTCGCTCCAGTGGGCTCCAGAGGCCCCGGGCCGGCGACGGGACCAACCCGGGCACCTGCAGGTGTAACTCCAGCGACTGTAACTCATCGAACACTGCCTCACGGTGCACCAAACGAGCTCTGATGAGACAGACGTGAGCCTCTGAACAGCGAGAGCGACACTGAGAGAAACGCGACAGGAAGGATTGAGACATGCTGGATTGCCAACAGTCGAAAAGATTGACGTAATGAAATATATGAATGGTCAACGTTTTGGGAAGCATACCTGTGCATCATAGAGTGTATTTATATACAAACGAGAGTTCAATAAGGCTGTTTTTACGAGCAGCCATTATGAACATTTATTTCAAATATAACTTCCGGGTAAAGAGTGTCAAGTTTCCACACATTTCCTGCAGTTTTCCGAGTGAGAATAAACGATCGAATCTGTCTGCTGAAGACGTTTAAACGACTTTGATGTTACTTATAACCAATCGACTGAATTTGTAACTTCACCGTCTTGGGAACGCATATAAACTACATACCCACACACTTGGCTTTTTAATTTGAAGGGCAGTTCGCAATTTTTTCAATAAGCAGAAACCACATATTTCTAACCAAATATAAGGAAAAGGAAAATTAGTTAATGATTGGATAGTGTCTTACTGTTGCGTTCATTGTTCAATACCTATGTCCTTTGCATGACCTGTTTCATCATAAGCATTAAAAACGAACCTTATGTAGACAGGCGCCTCGATACAGCCGGCGATATTGTTCATGCAATTTCGTGTGGACGTATGGGAGTCTATGTAAGTAAGCCACGAAATGACTTCGTGGTTTTGCATGTCATTTCTATACAATTGAACGTCAAAATCAAAATAAGAAATAGAAAGACGGCATAAAAAGACTCGAGCGTCACTTCAAATTCCAAAACACCTGCAAAACACAAAGCTGGCAATATTTCCTTTGCATACTTAGAAGTAAGTTCTAGGTACCTTTACCTAGTTGTCATTTCTCAGAAAATGAGATGTTTATGTTATGAAAACACCAAACGCTTTTAAAGGATGGCACTGCGGCGCGGACCATCGCTTAAGTGCCCACCCCTCGCCGTTTCACCGCTGATTGGGTTGGACTTTCACGAAAAAAGGAGCGAGCGCCCGCCATGTTTCCCTTCTATTACGCGCCAGGGACGTGAGGTACATGGCGCACGTCCGTCGCAGGCGTCGCACTTAAAAAAATTATTTTGCTCGACCACCCTCGCCAGGAGGGTGCGCTCCGGCCTTTCAACATTACGAAAAGTGGGGACATTTGCGCTAGCGCTGTCAGCACCGTGAGCATTCTAAACAACAAATGCAGTAATCCCACCAATCAGTGTCAGTAAGTCAATACTTGACGCTCATTGGCTGATACGCCAGTGACGATTTTGGGGGCCAGAGCGTTAGAGATAACCAACGGCAGCACGGGCCGTTCAGTTTAGGACTTGATTTTGATATTATTTAGGCAAGTCTGATAAAATCTCGGATCGTTTATGAAAGCTGCAATTCATTTTTGCACTGGTCCAACACGTCTTAGTTTTTTCCTGCAATAATTCGTTGAAAAATGAGTTATTATATGCGTACCTGAGTTTGCTTGGCCCCCAGAGTCACGGTTACTAAATTCATTTTTGTCCCCACTATATCGTCGGGAGCGTTCTATCTGGTTTACATAGCCTTGATCCTTGCTGAAATGATGCTGCGACACAGGTCATTCACAGCTTTGGGGACTCATTTTTTTAAGGATACATACCAGTTCAGGAAGCCCATGGGTCTCGGCTAAGGTCTAGGCTAGAACGTCTTTCAGCTCACTATGTTCCGAGCAATACCCCTCCCCCCAAAAAAGTATGGGTGACACCAGCTCCCTCGGCCGAGAGAGACTGTCAGGTCTTACGTAATCAACTCTCCTGGTATTATGGTTCAAAATTCCAAAGAAAGTAAAGTTAAAACGTTGCATTATAAAGTTAATCTTAGCATGCGAATTCTTATCTTATGTGTCCAGCGGTATGGGATGTAAGTAAAAATTGATGGTCAACTTAACTCATACCTATTGCATCATCGAGATGTTCATTGCAAATTGCATGCATGACGCTCGTTGATGCATCAATATCGAAATTGACGGCTGTCGGCTGTGCTGATACTACATCAGATTCAATCACCCTAGTGAAACATCTCACCATAGGGTGGTGAATGCGGTTGTGTGATGTAATGCGTCCATATACCAACACCGTGTCCTTCCTTGTTTCACCAGGTGGCTGTGATGGCGGCAGTGGCCGTCGCCGCCCTCTCCGCTGGTGAGCCGGTCGGTCCCAGTACCCGGGGGACCCCGCGCCGGGCCCGGCAGCTCAGACCGGCGGCGGCGCTGCGCCGACAGGATGTGGCCGACCTGGACGGCCTGGTGGAGAAGAGCCACCTGTTCACGGCCGACCCGGAGGCGGCCAGCGCCGGCCGGCTGTACCGCCAGCTCGCGCGCTACCCGTCCGAGCCCGACACCCAGACACAGACGGAGGCCGAGCTGACCACCGACGAGCTCCTCATCGACGACGGCGACTTCGGCCGGCGGCTGGAGCCCGACGAGCAGAGCCCCGTCCTGCCGGCGTACCCGCCGTACTCCCACGGGCCGCTGGCCGTACCCGTGGAGCCGTACCGCAGCCCAGAGTACGGCCCCGTGTCCGGAGAGGCGCGTCAGAGCGCGGCGGCCGAGGATGTCACGAGCACTACCGCGGCACCGGCCGAGAGGCCTGCTGCCGTCACTGAGACCGCTGAGCCGACTGAGGTGCCGCTGCAGGGGGCCGAGCCGCCCCCCGCCCCCCGGGAGGAGGTCACTGACCGACCCCAGCCGGCCGGCTACACTCAGAGGGGACCGGCACCCCGGCGGCCCTACCTACCCCGTCCCCGCGCCCCGGCCCGCCCGGTCACAGCGCACCGGCCGCCGCTCAAGGTGGCCGCTCCATCCCTCTACAAACCGGGAGCCGTGGTAGCCGCTAAACCACCGACCAGCTTCTACGAGGAGCGCCTGAACGAGGTGTCCTCATTTCCCCTGTGGACCCCGTACGCACCACTATGGGCGCCCTACCCGCCGCGCCCTCACTCCCCGACGTTCGAGTCAGGACACCACGAAGTCCAGCATAGGCCCGCCTCGCCCGAATACCGGCATTACTCCGGACTGCGCCAAGCGAAAAAGGCGAGCGGGTTCGAGCGCCCGCACCCCAGCCCGCACCGCTACTCCCCCGTCAGAGCTGACGTCTCCTTCGGGGCGCGTACCGGCGACCACGGGGCCTTCGAGTGGTTCTCCGACCACCCAGTCGGCTCGGCGTATCACTGAATGGATTGTACGAGGAATGCTCTACTGTGTTGTTTTAAAGTCATTTTTTCCCAGGAAATTAGTTATGTATGGTCACTTTTCGGATTATTCTCTGGGATAATAATATCTAACTCACAAGTCCATATATTTCGGATGCCATGCTTTGAAGTTTATCATCCGAAATATATGGACTTGTGAGTTAGATATTATTATCCCAGAGAATAATCCGAAAAGTGACCATACAATGCTCTACTGTTTAAGAAAGGCCTTTTGTCCACCGCATCACTGAGTGGACTACTGTTTGCGGTATCAATGAGCGAGCGCTGCCGCCCTTTGGCGTCGAGAACGGCGAATGGAAGTCTGAGACCGACAGTTTGAAGTTTATCTAAACGATCAGCTGTAAACATCCTAATAGAGTATAGGAGCCGGCCAGAACATTTGAAAGCCTGCAAATGTTGATATGACGAGTCTAACGTTTTAGAGTCATATAAATTTCAGCATGCCACGAGTGTATGCCCATATAGGTACCTAAGTAGAGGTTCAGGATAAGAACATATCCTCCAGCCCTTTCAAGCCTTCCACTCCCTACGAAACGACTCATTGTTACAAGCTGAAAAAGATGCGCTTTTTGTTAAAGATAGCGTGTAGTGTAGGTACTTGATAAACAAGGATATGTAATTTAACTAGTGTATAGCGGTACGTCTCGGCCATAAAGTGGGCATGCTTCAGTGTAAACATGTGCAATGCCAGGGGACATCAGATAACCACTAAGAGCGACATAGTCGTATATGCTATGAAGCGGTGCTGGTTGATCAACATATCAATATCACTGAGGAGAAACTGAGGCGCGGAACGTGCCTGTTGGGTTGGCCCAGGCGTTACAAGGGTCGGTTTGTATGCAGCTCACAAGAACAGGAGAGCAGGTAGGTTGGTAGTAACGAATGTAAAGACCGCACATGTCGATTGATTTTAAAAGGAGCAATCAAGTTCTGTACAACATTCCCGCTGTAGCAATTACCGTGTCTCACCAGCTGGTACTTTGCACTCATTTGTTCTCCAATATACGTATAAAGCTGAACATGATGTCTGAATTGAGCGAAATGCCCTGTGTAGCGCTAGTCGCCCGCCAGCGGCCTGGGTGCTGCTAGCTCAGCAATCCATCGGCCGAGGACCACATATCGCTGCATCGCCTGACCAGGCCGGCGATTTTTACCGGGCGGGGTATGGCGAATCGCAAACACACGCGATACTCGCTCAGAATTTCCCCAGAACGGCTGGCGCGATGCCCGACACTGTAGATAGCGCGGAAAACGACTTGTAAACCGACAGCGCCCCAGCGCGTCCCCCCCCCATTCCTCATTTCACACACTCCTGGGCAGATGGGGCTCATGGAACTTCACCTGTGTCAACAACAACTCCCGGAGCTGAATGACGCAATTAACGGCCGCTCCACGTGCAGTACGGCGCCACATTTGAGCAGTGTGCGCCGTTGTTGGCACAGACGACTGGCAGAGCGGACCGGGCTGAGATTAGTAAAATTACCTTACAGCAGACGGCGCGCCGCGACAAACTAACATCACACCAGTGGCGGCGGAAGCAGGGGGGCAAGGGGGGCAGCTGCACCCTAAAGCTATGGAAAGGGGCGCCTCGAAAATCTGTAGAGGAGGCAGGAAGGATGTGCGGCAGCCATAAAGCTGAGCAGTGCGAGGCGACACCGCAACTGATGAAGGCACTTGTGACACGAAGAGGGTGGCAATGACGTGGGAAAAGTATCTTTTGATATGCTGAAGAGTGGAGGGCATCCTTATCTGAAACAAAGGCAGATGCTGCCGACCCTGTCGAATATAATCTTGCCAGGCGATAAAGGCTAGGAGGGCGCAGCTACTCGAGAAGCGCGCCATGCGGAAGAGGGGCGCCTGCATGCGAAAGAGGGGCGCCTGTGTGTGGGACGAAAAAGAAACATTTATGGAGACGTCTTTGAAGGCGATAGCCTCCGAACGCCAACACGAACATATGAGGGCTTATAGCGTTGCAGCTGCTCCATGCGACAAAAAGGGGCGCCTGATGGCCGATATGCGAGAGGAAATTAGTTTGTGTAACATTTATCGGGGGCGGTTTGCCGTTTACAACATATGAATGTTAAGGGAGGTCCAAGATTGGGGCCTGTAAAATTGCACTGTCCGTATGGGCGGTTACACCCCTAGTGCTAGGGCGTATTTTGCGTTTTTTTTTTTACTGGGGAGATGATTATGACCAGGAATAGCACTCTGCAAACTTCTATGGGCGCCTGTATCGGGGCGAAACTGATTTTCCAGTGCAGGGACGCCCATCGGCATGGTAAGGGGCGCCCAGCGGGAAGGGGCGCTTCAATATCGTTTGCACCCCTATCCTAGAATACCTTCCGCCGCCACTGCATCACACCAGGGTCGGCGGCGACACCAGAGAAAGTGCGATACCGCGCCGCCCTCAGCTGCGTCAGAGACATGGTTATAGCAGGATGGAAATTTGGGCTAATCAAACAGTGGAGGATGCGTAGCTGGCATACATGGCACGGCGTCAGCGTAGATACCCGCCGGTTTACACTTTCACCATGGAAACTTCTATTTAACCTGGTGGAGTCTATTGGATTGGTTTGCATACGGGTCTTTGAGCGCCATGTTGCGATCACATTTCACCACGAAAATAGTTCAGCTTGTCAAGGATTACTCCTGGTGAAAAGTACTACAACCTTAAGCCGGATACCTTCAGATTCGGCTATCTGCCGCGCATCTATCGACCAGTTCGATTTTTCAACCGACGCAAGGAATCGTTAAAAAACACAGCACTGGCTTCTTGGAAAAGGCTACACGGTGGTTACCATGCAAAGGACAATACATGTACACCATCCGTGACCAATGACATCCGCGATCGTATTTATCCAACGGTGCATTCGTGCAGCTATTTAAAAGGTGGGAAGCGCTACCTCTGCTTAGATAGGAGCATCGCCCAAGAGCGTTTAAAATAGCAGTATACTTGTCGTCTGCACACGTACAAAAGCCAGTACCTCACGATATTCTATTGTTTGGATCTTGCATGATTAAGACTAAAGTCGGCACGGTTATTATATACCTCCGGAGCTGTCATACTCTTTAGTACTTTCTCATTCAGAAAAAGCAGCGCTTTGCTGACATATGTAACGTGGTACAATTATGCCTGGAAAATTAGGCGAGTTCTTAACTTCCAAGTACAGATAACAAGCAAAACCGTTTCCGAACGCAATAGCATCGACGGCAGCCACGTGTCAGACGAAAAAAGTCGATAAAATATACATATAAATATTTTTATGTATGTTATATAAAGCTCCATTCGTAATTTTCAAACTGTTACTGAGATCCACGGTTCCGATTTCATAGCTACACTTTAGGCGGGTAGGGGCAGATAGTATGATCTGGTGAACCGACATCAGTAACCTGGCTGAAGGCGAGGTTTATATGCTACACTTGGGTGATAATAGGCTGTGACACAATGCCACAGGTCAACCGAGATCGCAGTTCTCGCGGGTCAGAACTCACAATCGCTTGCAATCACTAATTCCCGACGCGTCCATCCCTTCCACCCATAATTAATGTCCGCATTGTTTCTGTTTGTGTCCAGACTCCAACACACACAAGGGTGACCCGTCAGAGCATCTATTGCACTCAGGCGCACAGAACGATGGCGACATCTACACCGTTCCTGAGCGGGGCGGGACGAGACAGAGGACGCCACAAGGCTGAGTCAGAGCGACGGGACGGGGCCGTGCTCCTCTTGTCTTTCAGTACAAACGGTCGGGTTGCATACACGAAGCAGACAAAACACACGGGGAACCTGAACACCACACAGATAATCTCGGACCGAGTCAGCCAGAATCAAACACACGAGGATGGCAAGGCGACGGCCAAGCTCGTTCGAAGCTCTTGATCGTTACATCGTCACGTCAAATTGGATCACCCAATGTTCATAAAACACCACAAATCACAGGAGCCGTAAAATCACACCTTCATGCCATAAAACTTAACAATGCGGAGGGGTGGGACAGATTATCAGTCTAAAAATGATCACCAAAGTCGGCGTGGGGGAGCGGGAGGGACTAAGCGCGAGGGATGGCAAGGACGGCGGCTAGGACGCATGGAGAAGGGGCTGGTGTAAAAAGACCAAAAGCAAATTACGCAACAACGAAAACATGTCATACATCGAAACAGGGCATTGTTAAAAACGCATTTACCTGGCATTCTTATGCCAGACTTGTCGACTGGTAAAAGCCCATGCAGTTGCATTTGCGACATATGAATGTTTTCGTCATTGCGTAAAGTGTCTTCGTTGACTGCTTGCGATTTGGGTTCCCACACCAATGGCTGCTGTTCTGCAGCATTACTGAGAAAAACAGCCGGAGGGAGAGAGAGAGAGGGATGGGAACCGGTCGGACGGGGCGCGGTGTCAGGACAGCTGCCAGTCGATGGTTCGGACAATCAGCTGAGACTCGAGACAGCGGCCGGCCGAGAGTCGACTCAGTCAGCCACGAGTCCACCCATCCGACCGGCCGAGTTACCGCCAGCCACCAGCACACACACCGGTCGGAGTCCAGCCAGAGAGCCGGGAGTCCGGGTGGATTCCGCTGTACGTGTTCTGATCGTTCTCAGAGCGACAGAGATTGTAACTAGAAGCTGGTGACCAACAGAACACCTGAAACAACAGAGCCGCCGCCATGGCCTCAAGAACGAGATGACTGCTGGGGCTGGCCCCGACCAGAAAGAAACAATATTGAGTGGTTATAGGCTAGATTAAAAGAAGCTTAAGCCAAGCCGTCATACAGATAGAATTGAATATGGGATAATTCATCCTGTCGTAAGTATGTACCTAACTAAATCGCTACACAAGCATCTCGACAAGTGATGCCTTGCAACTGAATGGTATGTGAGCCAAGCCCACTCATATCGGCTCAGTCGACCACCATCGAAGCTATCTATGAATGCCACTTGCTCAATGGCGAACTGTTCAGAAGTCTCGGTCGTTATCAGCTAGTTTCTGGGCAGACGATATTTTATCGACAGGCGCAGCACTGTGCACTGTGCAGCAGCCATCTTTGATCAAATCGGAAATTCCGATGACACCGCACTACGGAGCCGTATCAGTGGTAAGCGGCACAAGGTGCTATAAATGGTACACGGTACAACCCAAACCGTGGCACCACTGCACTGTGAGCGCAGCGGGACGCTGCACTGTCTCGAACCGATACGGATCCATGGCGATTGTTAGCGCAAGACTCTCCGTGACAGCGGCAAGACATCCCCTGCCCCACGCCTTACCCCCAGTAGCTCTCCCAAGCAGCCCCTATCCCCAGCCAACCCATATCCAAATCCATTTCCAGCCCCCTCCCCAGTCGGCACCGGCCCGCTCGCCGCAGCGCCACCGGTCGGCTGTGCAGTAGGTCTGGTACTCACTACTCACCGCTGTCGAGTGCGGCCGGCGGCTCTCAGCCGGCTCAGTCCTTCTTTTTGGCGGCCTCCGGCTTGGCGTCGGCTCGCGCCTGGTCGCCGGCGGGCGCCTTTCCTCCGGAGACGGCGCGCTGCAGGGAGTCCCAGACGCCGCCCAGGAACACGGCGCAGAAGAGGTTCTCGAACGGCACGAACGGATCGTGGATGCCCAGCAGCATCGAGGACAGCTGGCGGCACAGGAGAGGGCGGGTCAGTGGCGCAGGGAGGGGCACTGGGAACGTGAGTGGTCGGTCACCGGTCAGATAACGGTGCGGGTCATTATGTCATCAATCAGACCAAAGTGGCGACCATTAGGCGACTGATCATGCCTAATGGTCATCAGGTCATTGAGCTCAGAGCTAACAATGTGACGAGTCGACAAACCCTCAAGTCAGGCCACAGGCGGGCGAACCAGTTACCGATAAGGCCGTGCAATATACCGGGTGGCCCAGAAAAAACGTTCCGAACTTTGGAGGCCTATATATCAAATACGAGTACAAATAACGAGCCAAAATTTTCATCAAGTATGCGTCATTTCTTTGCGCATTGGTATGCCAAATTATAACACTATACCATCATTTTCAAGCTGGCAATCTTGAGTTGAATTAAGCAAGACGTTTTTGTTTTTTTTTTGCCGATGTCAAACGATAGTGATGATTGGGTTAGACGTCCCATGTTATAAAAAAGAATAAAAAATAGAGCACGTGAATGAAACCAACACGTATGTTATTTTAAATATTTTTGTCTCACTTATGTGCCAAATATTCAAATACTGAGCCAAAATGGTGCTCATGGATGTCATTCGTTTCAACACCAAATCATGTTTCGAGCAGAAGTGGCACGGTGCATGGATTACTGCTGATTACCCTCCTTTCAGTAGATCAAACAGTAAATCGACCGGATAAGGAAAATAAACTAAAGCAGACTGGTTCCTGTGCCAGAAGATCACAGAATAGCTTATGAAAAACAACATTGCCAGCAGATGACAAAAAAAAAAACTGGTTGAAAAGCTACCTTTTCCCAGGAATGTCAGCCAGGAAAGCATTTGAGTCACAAGATGGTTAGAAAACTGGAAACTTCTTCCGATGCCGCTGGCACAGAGCCATCGTGGTTGCCTGAGGGAATGTGTCATCCTGAGACCCGAACCATCAATGAGACTAGCTGCCAGTAGAAGTCATGGCTCTAGGCCGCGGTGCCGCGTGGTGAAAGTGATCCGTTCACTCACATTTTTTAGTAAGCATCGGAGCAAAAAAGTAATTTTTACATGTCATGCTTGAAAACGAACCGTTTAAAAAGTTATTTACCGAACACCATGAAAATCACACCATTTACTGAAAATGTGTGCCGCATTGACTATTCGAAGTTTCAATGTTGTATCTTTATCACTTTCTGAGAAATATTGATTTAAAGTTGGGAACGTTTTTTCTGGGCCACCCGGTATACATAAACGAAATCACGTTCGATTGGAACAGATATATCACATGCAACGGCAGCGCAGTGGGGCAGTCACTCCGCCTGAGCATACGCCCTCGGGGCGGCATTTTCACTCGTAAGACTATGGTGCAGTCAATGACGAATGCCCGTGTCGCCCCCATACAAACCTTGAAGTAGACGAAGAAGATGGTGATTCCGAAGTAGACCAGCGCGTGCGGGGCAGAGATGATGTCCGTCTTCTTATCAAGCACGAATATAATGGCCGCCGCAATCGAGGCTTTGGTCGGGCTGTAAAGCAAGAACAAATATTTGATATCTCACGCAGTCAGTCGGATTAAATCCAGCGGCGCACCCTACGTATCGGTATCGCGGTATCGCGGGCGCACTCCCACGGCGGAGCTGCTGATAGCTGAGTTACATGGGACTCGGGACCGCGCGCCGGCCGGGTGGGGCGGACGTAGACCCAGGACCTGAATCGCGGCCGGGTGGAGCGGGCCCAGACCCAGACCAGGCCCACCACACCAGTGAAACCGACCAACACTGGAGAGTGGACCAGTGGAACAAACCCAAACCCAGATCGGCTGGGTGAGGCGGGCATGACCCAGACCCGCCACTCGTCTGCAGTTTAACAAACCCAGACGGGCTGGGTAGCGCGGACACAGGCCTGCCGGCCGCGGCGAACTACCGATACGACCGACACTGACGGTAAACACTACCGTCGGAGAGCAGCACAGACCAACTTTGTATATGGCTGCAACTGGCATCGACTGTAAGGTTGCAGACTACCTAAAGGTCACAGGCACCAAACCGTTAGCGGGCGGCCACATGTCGCTCAATGGGCGATCATTGCAAGTTTACCAGAAGACCAACGATCCGACACTCACAAGCTGGGTCCCATGATGTCGATAGCGGTGGGGGTCCACACGCCACGGAACAGGCGCTCCATGATCTTGACGAAGCCGCTGCCGTTGCCCTTGACTGTGCCGACCAGCACCATGATGAGGTAGCCCGTGGGGAACAGCTTGGCCGCGTGGGTGACGCCGTCGTGCACCTTCTTACACCGGTACACCTGTCAAAGGGGGCGGATGTAATATCCTTGGGGTGGGGGTGGGGTGACACTGGTGCCCATAAGGCCTTTGGTGCTCCTGCGTAGAGGAGGAGGTAGACGATACTGCACACCTGTACTTACATACATCTGTTATCGGGGGAAAGGAAGTAAAACGATTAGGTTGTGTACAGTGGAAAGAGATGTGGCAGCTGGTTTGGCCAATACAATAGCGTTGAAGGAGCGTCACATAGTGATGAACCACCGTTGCTGATTGACGCATATTTTTCACTAGCAATTCATTCGCAACCCCTTCTCTCATCCGTCATTCTCACCTCTTTCATAGCGGAGAGAACGACCTTGAAAGGAAGAAACTTGACGACCTTGTAACCGATGTCAAACGGAGAATAAAATATCACGTACCTGAAACAGAAACGCAAAAACATTACCGATTCTCTGAACCATGCTTGACCGACGGCTAAGCTTTATTTAGATGCATTTATCCATGGCGATGTGGTGGTATGCAATCTGTGAAGTCTAGATGAGTACCAGTTGCCATTGCCAGCTCGTCTTATGTAACTGTGCCAAAATCACTATCGGGTCGCGACACCACCAGAGCTATTGGTTCCGCCCCGCCCCAGCAACAACCGACGCGGCGTCCCGGCCAGTAGACACCCCCAGAGTTACGAGCCCCACGCCACACCGCCCCCGGGTCAGCCGACGATGCACCCCGCCCCGCCCCGTCCGCCCCACCGCACTAACCAGACAGCCGTGGCTAGCAGCAGTTGGTTGTTGTTCTTCACGGCGCCCAGCACCGGCTCGCCCAGCAGGAAGTTGGCCAGCAGACCGCCGGCGAATATGGAGAACATGGAGGAGAACCAGGTGGCCAGCGGGTGTTTCCGCGAGAACGCCAGCGCCCCTGCGGGTCGCACAGAGCTGATACTGAGCTGAGGTCACGGCTCGTACTACACGGGAGAAGCTGCAGGGACAGACGGAGCGGCAGGGGCTCACGCAACATCACATAGCTGGGAGGGTTCGAAGTTTATGAGAGCTTCGAGACTTACCCACGCCCCGCTGAGGGGGGGGGGGTCAGAATCTGCCCCCTCCCGTTTTTCGCTAATTATGCCAGTGACGTCAAACTTTATCTACCTTATCATACATCAAGCTGGCATCTTCACTGAAAATTAAAGCCAAAGCTGTCCGTTTTTTAAGAAAACGTTTTATTGACGTCATGTCACGTCATTTTTGCTTCCAAAACTGCAAATCTTTAAACGCGTTTAACGTCTTCATTTTTCAAGGAATCAAGACGTAACAAAAAAAGCTTGTACGTGATCCTACTTTGTATTTCGAATGGCTATCTCGTTTTTAAATTTCCTGAATATGGTTAAAAAACAGATTTGGGGGGGGGGGAATCGTTATTCGTTATAAACCCAAAATGTTCAGTCTATCGAAAAAAGGAAAATATGTTAGAGAGCTAGTCTCTGTGCACCTACATTCCATTTTTAAAAGAATCAGTTAAAAAATGTAGGAGCTATTCAAATCTTTATGACGCCGCGACACAAAATCGTCAGAAAATGATTTTATGTTCTGGACCTTGTACGGGAACAAAAATAGCACCATTCGATTTGTCTTAAAAAAACTGCAGCAGATAGACACCTTTAAGGTCTTAATAAGCAACTTCAAAATTTGACCTCACCTGACCCGAATTTGACCTGACCTCGACCTAAAATTCATCCAAATGTGGCTCATGTCACTAATTGAGTGTCTCCATCGAATTTTACGAATAAAATGACCCATAAAACATGTGTCGCACTCGCACATGCTCTTTTCTTTACTTCGTTTTTGGTGACCTGACCTTGACCTTAACCTTTGCATGACATTGTATGCAACGCAGCTTGTCTTGGCAGCCAAAGAACACATTTTGGATAATCAGTATCAATCCATTCTTCGCCAGTTAAGCTCCAAAACCGATAACGTAGAAGCTTGCATTTTGTACACTTGACCTGACCTTGACCTGACCTTTGACCTACTTAGGGGACGGGGAGACAATTGGGCTCTTAAGATCCGCCTTGTTGAGAGCTTTCGATTGCCGTTTTTCCCGTCTTTCTACGACCATCGGTTCGGAAGTTAGACAGGTGGCACAGAATATCCCTCCCCAGCAGGGCGCATATGACTGAATAGCCCAGCGGGACGCGTGTTAAGTGCTTGCACAAAAAGTTTTCGGCAGAAGTGACAAACGAATAAGGAAAAGCATTTCCATTTGTTGAGCAGCATAGGAATACCTGCCGTTAATCAGTCGATTGCATCAATAGTGGACCGGTTTCGTCTTACGACTTTATCACCGCTAAAAATGTATTAAATATTCCTTTTTTTAGTACCAATGAACCACACCAGTAGTATTTTTAGTATAGAGAATCAACAGCACATTTGCGAACTAGCAGGATAACAAGAGCACTTGGTGATCCGGAAAGCAGTATTCGACGCTCAACCACATTCTTCCTAAAACCTAAAAGGTTCGATAAATAAATAAAAAAACATCGGTTTTAGTTACTTCCAAACACGCTGTGCAATCTAATGAAAGCTACTTTTAAAGAAGCTGCTCAAGTTTCTTTTTTCTAAGAAGACGGCAAAGTAGGTACTCACCGCAAAAAAATGCCGTAATAATGAAGATGGCGGGTATACAGAGTGTGATATACAGAGTGTGATACAGAGTGCGGGTATGCAGAGTGTGATAAGGACCACTTGGAGGAGCCGGTCTAGGTAGCGAGGGCACAGGAAGCGCCGTGCAGCGAAGATCGAGGAGGAGGCGAAGGCGCGCTCTTTTAGGAACTTCGCGACCGAGGAGCTGAGCCGGCCTGCCAACATCGGCAGAGTTCACAAAATTCTCCGGAAGATGGAGGGGGCGGAACAAGCTCCGCCCGGCCAAGCGCTCGGGGACCACGGACGACGTGCCGTGGAGGACCGGGCCAAGGCCGCGGCGTTTGTCTAACAGTACGCCAGTGTCAGCCGCCAAGTCCGGAATAAGCTCCAAGACCGCAAGACGAAGTTCGAGCTGACAGGGCTCCGCGCCGAGCCCTGCGTCTACTTCGATGCCCGTTCCGAGGCCTGTTCCTTGTTTACGCCTCAGGAATTGGACACGGAGCTGCGCAACATGAAGTGTGGGAAGGCGCCGGGTCCAGACGACATCTGCGCCGAGCACCTGCGCCACCTGGGCCCGGGTGCCAAGACCACTCTCCTCCGACTGCTGAACCTGTCCTGGTCCACAGGCCAGGTGCCGTCTGCGTGGCGCCGGGCGACAATCATCCCAGTTCCCAAGGCTGGGAAGGACTCAAAGCTGATCGCCAGCCATAGGCCGATTGCGCTCACTAGCCACCTGGCGAAACTGGCCGAGCGCCTAGTCGCCGCCCGCCTCAACCATCTGGTCGAGCGCGATGGGCTCGTGCCGCCCGAACAGGTCGGCTTCCGGCGAGGCAGATCGGCTGAAGAGAACCTGGCAAGACTGGTGCAGCGGGTCCAAGACGGCTGGAACAAGCCGAAACCGAGAGGACGACCGGAAGAGGGCAAGACCGCGGAAAAGTTCGTACTCCTCGCCTTCGACTTCTCATGGGCGTATGATGTCATCGATCACAAGATGCTCCGCCTCAAGCTTCTCCGCCTGGGGGTGCCCAAGTGCATGTCCGCATGGATATGGGCGTTCCTCCGGGACAGGAGAGCTGCGGTCGAGGTCAACGGCGCCCGAGGATGCGAGTGCCCGTTCGGCGTTCCGGGCCGGACACCCGCAAGGCAGTGTCCTAGCCCCAACGCTTTACACGCCGTGGTCGGGCGACCAGATCACGGCGCTCAAGACCGTGCCAGGCACAGACATCTTTATGTATGCTGACGACACAGCGACGCTCAGCAGCGGCACCGCTATCGAAGAGGCCGGCTACCGAGCCCAGCGAGCTGCGAACATCATCGCCAGCTGGGCAACAAGATGGAAGATGCGGGTCGCCGGCGAGAAAACGCAGGCCCTCGTCCTATCCCAATGGGCCCGCGACGCGTCGAACATGAGCGTCAAGGTGTCTGGCGCCGTAGTGACTGCCGGCCCTTCCCTCAGACTCCTGGGCGTGACCTTTGACCGCCTCCTTCACTTCGGCGCCCACTGTGCCGAGCTGCGCAAGAAGGTCCGCCCCCGTGTCGCCCAGCTGCGACGCATGACCGGGAGGAGCTGGGGACTGGGCGAACGTCAATTGAGGTCGGTGGCCAACGGATACATCCGGGGAGCCCTAGAGTAGGGGAGAGTGGGGAAAGATGCCCAGGGTTTTGCTATGTCATATATTATTCGAAAATGACGATGGGAAAGCAAAAGCTTGGAGTTTCAACAGAAGCCGACAGCATTTTTCTCTAAAAATATCACACTTTCGTGCCTGAAATATGATAACTTTTTTTGCTATTAAGCATTTTCCTGAAGAAGTGAAAGGGGGCATCTTACCACACAGGGTGGGAAAGACGCCCCCTGGCGTTGGGAAAGATGCCCCATGCACTATAAGTGACATAAATGGGTACGTGAATCGCCTGAACGAATCAGTAGTCCCTTCGAGCCTGCAGAAGACACCAAACGTCATCATAAGGGCCCTCAAAAGTAGTCGTAAGGGGCTTCAGAGGTCATCGTTAGGGCCATCATAGTCCAGCGCGGCCAAACAAGCCTCCGTGGTGGCGTTCGGAGAACACTGTGGGGCTCTTATAGGTCTTCATGATGCTTGAGGGCCCTCGAGCCCACCGGGGAGACCTCTGCGCGGCCCGTGGAGCCAACGTGGGAGCCCTCAAAGGATGTCGTGAGGGGCCCTGGAGCCAATAATGGGGCCCACAGAGGCCGTCGTGAGGGCGCTCAGAGTCAGATGCCGCCCAAAAGTCGCTGTGTGGGCCGAGAGACCGGCATGGGGAGCACCCGACCGTACTGGACTCTCAATAGTCCCAGATCGGCTTTTATCTACATCACAAGTATGTAATAAATGATTTGACGGGCTGCTTGAAGGACAGCCTACGGATTTAGGGGGGGGGGGCGTCTTTCCCCAGCAGGACAGGGGGCATCTTACCCCAAGGTACCGAAGTAACATTTAATCAGTACAATTTGTTAGCCATAAAACTACACCCTGAAACAAACTGTTTGGGACACAGTACACGCATGCTAATGTATCACGACTATAGCAAGGGACGCAAAAATTATCTACCTTCTTTGATATTTACAATGTTTTGACACCAAAATATTTTTGAAAGCAGCAAATAAAAAACATGCAATCATCAGCCAGCCGTTGCCCAACTGAGCTTCGCAAATTTTTGTGCAGTTAACAAGGCAGGCTTCCGCTTTACGCTAAAAACATTAATTTCCAGGTTCGATTCTTTGTTTCGCCGCTAGAGGGGGTGGGGCGTCTTTCCCACCCTGGGCATCTTACCCCACTCTCCCCTACGCGGCAGGGGCGTGGATGCCTGCAGCCTCTGCCTCACACCTGGAGCTGATCGACAGGGAGCTGCGGGCGGCGGCCCGGGTGATAACCGGCTGCCCCACCTCAACACCCGCCTTCGCCCTGCTGTCGGAGGCGGGCATGCCTGCCGCATGTGTGCGCCGCTCGGTGGTGGCAGCTAGGCTGCTGGGCCTGGCGATGTCCCTGCCAGAGGATGACCCTCTTCGAGCCCTGGAGGAAGCGACTCCCCCGCGCCGCTTCAAGACGACGACTGGATGGAGGGACCACGGTCGCGAGGCCCTAGCACGGGTCTGCCGCGGCGGTGCGCCGCTGACCTTTGAGGCGCGGCTGGCGACCGCTGGGCCGCCGTGGCGCGATGTCCCCGGTGTGACCATCGTCCTGGAGTTGGGTCCCGGGGGACGCCGTGACCGCCACCCGGACACAAGACGGGAGGCGGCGGAGAGCCGTCTGGCGGAGC